GTAGTTTAAGTAACTATTGTAAATGTGCCTTATATACAAATGTCTCATAACTGGCCATGTTTCTTTACACTATCGTTATCATTTACGTGTGCTCCGTTTCTTTTTTTGTTAAATCTTAATCATTTTTTTTCGCTCGTGTATCCTAGAATTCTTATTTTGTCGCTGGATATATAATTAATGAGTAAAATTTCAGCTTCCTTTATTCTGTAATGTGTAAAACATCATCCAGTTCGAGAAAAATTTCACAAATGTTAAGAAAACGCGAATAAAATAATTTTATTCATAAATAATAACCTTAAATGACGCAAGTTAGTTTATTCTATTGGATTTCCTCCAGAAAACCCTTCTATCTTTCTAACTATTGCTTATAGCTTGTTTTAACTTCAATTGGTTTTTTTGTGCCTTCTTGTTTTAAGAATTAATGGGACAAAGAAGGGGTAAAATACGACTTACCTTTAAAGATTCTTCTGTGAAACAAAATATTTCATTTCGACGAGTGCACACAAACGCGTTAGTGGTGACATATCACGTATATATATATATATATATATATATATATATATATGTAACATTTATGCACCACACTAATATTTATAATGCTGCACCATTATTATTATTATTATTATTATTATTATTATTATTATTATTATTATTATTATTTACTATTATTCTTAGCATTAATAACGTTTTTATCTGTCCAATTCAATCAGTATTTACACAAGTATTTATCAGTGCCGTCATGTATTATTATTGATAACGAATTCAGTTATATACATTGTCAAGATCCATAGCTTTTGTTTTTTATATTAAAAACCGTTCAGTTACAAAAAACAACTTTCTTGATGCTCCCTCTTTCTTTCATTCCATTACTGTTTATCGTCGTTTATACCTTTTCAGTTCATTATATCAATCTTATTTTCCAAAACAATTGTTTGTTCTTGATATGCATATGCTCTCTTCTCCCCCCTATATGCTATACCTTATTGTTATTCTTCGAACACAATCGTGTTGTTGTTCTGACATTTAGGTTCATTTACCGAATTTGTTAACTTATTTATCATTTTTTCTCCACCTTAATTTTTTACACTATTCGTTTGTGCGCCGGCTAATTTTGTCTTGTTTTTGCTTTTGGTTCAAATTCTTTTTAATTTAAACTGAATAAAATGAGCAAAGATGTTTATATATAATACATATATATATACAACCAACTGTTTTTTTTGTTTAGGTGTCGCTTTTAGAGAAAAATATTTTTGATTGAATAACTTCTTTTTCAATTCGATATTAATGGTGGTTATAAACAATCTGTTTATCAGTGTAGTCCTATGGTGCCCGATAACGACTAATTGACCAGTTGTACATGCATATCAGTGTTCGCGTCGGTACTCCAACTTATTGTTCATTGCTTCAAGCACCAACTTGTCATCTACTGAGCTAATGTGTTCAGATATGTATTTATTTTAAGGGTTTGTATTTTCCCGTTATTGATGTTAAGAACTGCAACTGGTTAGATTTTGCCAGATGGGGTTTCCATTACTGCTTACAATTCAATAGAAACTGATCAATCACAGCCGTCAGTGTTACCATCAGGAAACTGCATACCCTTAAATATGAATAAGTTTATTATTTCATGTTTCCTTTATCTCGTATATTGTCACACACTAACAGAAATAATATATAAAAATGAAAATCAATTAAGAAGAATTTCAAACATTGAGTTTCTTGTATAATTTAAGATAGGACAAGTCCGTCATCATCTAGAGGATAAGTGTTTTCGCATTTGACTTCAACGGTTCATATCAGCTCTAAAACACAGCAGATACCAGGAATGGTATGATTGGGAATATAGTTTGGTCATGTTTTGTTCAAATATTGTAGAAAGATATATCCGAAACTGTCGACTAACTTTTATCATAGGCTTATTGATGTCTGATTTCTAGGGTTCACTTGAGCTCTAGCGAGAAAATGTGACCAGTGCGTTTCAAACATGTTAACTGTGAGACAAATATTACTGATGAGAATTGATGATTGTCTCATAATATCGTGAATTAATTGAAATTAGGAACGTAAACCAATTAATACAGACTTATCAGTATAAATATTAAAAGCTCACCGTAACGCTTTAAAACCCTAGGTTTGATACTGTGTATGTTCGTGAATCCTCAGTCCCGAGAAGTCATATATGAGGATTAATACATCTTGGTGTTAACTGTCTAACTAAAGTCGTGATTGTGTAAACCATAAATTAGTTTATACTTCTGCATAGATTTTCATTGACGATCAACTGAGTACTGGTTGAATATATGACTTTTAAATCAGTGTTGAGATTATGTATTTAGTATAGGCTTGTATAAACAAATTTCGACAAGGCTAAACATATAGAGAGAAGCACATCAACTATCTTCTGTTGTGCCTCATGCTACTCTTCGAAAACGAAATGATTTTCGACTATTTCATTTGATTTAATACGAAATAATATGTGAACGTGTATTAGAATATATACTACTTCCATTCATTAATTTTCTCCGTCTTAAAGGGGTAAACTTATGCCATTCCGACACATATTATGTAAACAGTATTACCAAGACATGTTGATCGATAATACAATTGAAGAGCGGATAAATTAAGAAAGACAAGACTGATTACATGTACGTGTATGATGATATATGAGTATGTCCTTTGTTCCAGTCAACAAAGCAGTTGGGAGTTACATAAATCTGTATATCTGCTTTCATCCTTCACAAGTATAACGTTTGGGTATTTTGGATTAATGGAACAATAAGTTTTTAGCTTGAATACATTTACAGAAAAAGCGTGTAAATATGTTTTACTAATGGTACTATATTAAGTAGTTAAAATATGCTAGATGACAACACAATAACGTATTTATTGAAGTAATTTGTTGCGATTTTCGCCCAATACTCTGAAAAGAAGCAGATACTCTCACTCTAGAAGAGATAAGAAATGTTCTATCTTTTATCTATATGTCCACTAATCTGGGCATATTAGATATTGAGACCGAGTTTTCTCGATCCAGTGATAGGTTGCTAAGTACAGCTTCGAGACTAGTAACGTGTCAGTTCGATTTGTGACTGAACGGCCTTGAGGACTGGGAGAAATCTGTTTTATCTCTGACCTATGACCTGATAGGTTGGCAAGAGGGAAGACAATTTAACTGAAACTATTATCCAATTTATTCTTGACTCAAACCAATTCAAAAAGACACCTGACTAACAACACCACAATGTGCAAAAATGAGAAAAATAGTCATATTCAAACTAGGATATTGGGGTAAAAACGTATGGAATACAAGGGTTACGTTAAAATCACAGTAACTTCGAACTAAAAAAGAATATCATAGTGATCTTTACGCTAAATGAGCGTTTGTGTTTTACAAAAATGAAGCAGGCGTAAAACTAAATGTTTGTACTTTGCAGACTCTGAATGAGTCGAAACAATGTCCTGAAAAATAGCTTTCGTCGATTATCATTGCTACATTTTTCTCTCTTCACACCAAGAAAGATTATATAATTGATTGTATTTCTAGATGCCTTAACATCTTCAGCTCAACTCGTAATCAAAAGTACTGTGTCTACTGATCTGACTAGTTATGGGACTTCCACTAACCATTCGGCAACAATATCATATGAGAAGTAATTCATTGCCGTTATGGCATGGAAAGAAGTAGTTTTACGATATAGCTTTGGAATGACGTACAATCGTGAGATAGCAGTACCCAATGCCCTAGATGTTTGAAGTGATCATTGATGGCTGCTGACCCATCTTAGATTATTTTTCAAGAATTTGACCCACTTTTAGAAACTATGTTCTTATTTCTGGACAGACGAATTCATCTATCTCTTTTCAATTATGTTGCACACCTACTCACTCGAAGAATCTTTAAAAGATATGGAACAAAGGCTTAATAGTCAAATAGATCATTGTCATATGATTGGTTATTTTGAAGCCCTAAAGGTAACTCGGAGATTTTACTTGTGTACATGTGTATGTAAATGTTTATACATGTTTGTTTGACTATCATCTTGCATTAGGTATAAATATAATTTTTACCCAAGACGGTTTCTACATACATGTACCATGACTCATATATTTAAGCTTGACATCTATTCATACCATACATTTGTTCTTTGTCTGGTTGACCGCTATCCTGAGAACAATCTTGTTTGAAATAAATCTTATCTAGCACACACTTCCTGTCATAACTTGTTATTACACAAAAGCAAATGCAATTGCCATGGTATTTAAGTCAAGTGACCGTACGAAGTTAAACTAGATAAACAATGGTAGCAAGGACGAAGCAAGCAACAAACACACTTATGGACAGTTTAATCGTTTGAATCTATGTTGGTGATTTCTTTAGACAACTTGAAATAAAACTGTGGGAAAGCTTAGAAAAAAGCCTTTACAAATTTATAAACAGGTTGTTTGAGTAAATATCTAATTGGTTTATGATGAGTGTTGTTAAGCACGAACGCCAATATAAACATACATAATCGTATCACATCAAATCTGAATACTTTATTCAGCTGAATACTGTTACGAAGTTTAATCTTTATTCAAGATAAATCTGTAAATAAAATCAGGTATAAAAATATGAAACCATATTGCTTAAATTATAATGAGCAAAATAAAGATAATTATAACAATGTAAATATCCCTTTCAACAATGTTTTTAGCTAATGCTGTACAGAGGTATTTTACACAAAGTAATGATTGACTGATATTTTTAGTAGTCAATTTATCATCTTTTTGATCAATGAACTGGATTTAAATGCGTTTGTGCCACATTAGATAGATTGTTCAAAATAAAATATTTCAATAGTTGAAGCTAGGTCCTGGGTTCGAATCACGCGAGGAGCGGGATCGTGGATGCGCACTGCTGAGGAGTCCAATATCAGGACGAAACTGACGTCCAGTGCTTCCAGCTTTTCCATGGTGGTCTAGCTTCAACTGACTCATGATTTCAACTATTGAAATTTCAAGAAATCTACACATAAACCCCTCTAATAATAAAATATTTCATTACATTATTTATCGTTATTATTAAAATTTGACCTAATCTATTTATTTTCAAATAGACCTCATCTATTAACCAGTTTGATAAAGAATAATGGACTATCAACATGTAGGCTATTAACTTAATGCTAACTATTAAAATATTCATTGTCAATTACCGTTTAAACCATAAAAATCAATAGTTAAACAATCCGTCTTCACGAGACTGTTACTAACAGTACAGTTCAATCTGTATTTACAAAATAAACAGTAAATAAATGAGATATGAACAGTTAACATTGAACAAATAGTTATTCATTCTGTATGCTTTTTGTTTGCAACTCCTTTATGCTACATGAATTTATGAAGATTAATATTGTTCAGGAGGGAAAAAAAAACAGAAATGCAGTTAACATTATGGTCTTTATGATTGTATTATTTTTATAAACTGTTTATGATTTTTATATAAAAAACAACAACAACGACAACGAACAAACACAATAAAATAAACAAAACAAAAATATTAAAGAAAAGAAACACATTACATGGAAATAGTTTTTGAAAACTACTTTCATTATTTGCTTTATTTAATCATCTCTTTATCATGAAGTTCCATATTCAGCGATAAACACCTCAACGACAACAACAACAACAAAAAACAACTACAATCAGCTTTATATGAACTGAACATCAACAATATAATAAAGATAGCAATAATAAATGAATAGAAAACGTAGGAGAGGAAATTCTGACTGAATACTACATGGTTTCATTATGTTTTTTTTTAAACAAATGCATGTTTAGGTTACATTCAAATTTAAGTAATTTCTAGAATTCAACTCTTTATTCACCCAGTATTGGTTTTTCAGTGGTTCTATTACTTTTTTGAAATTGACTCTTTGAGATGATTGCAATTTATACAACCACTTAAATGTTGAGTTTCACCTAATCGATAAATTCATCATAAGAGTTTTACCTGACTGTACTAATAAATCATCATCATTCCAGTTTATTATAATCTTAGAATAAACCAACAATGAAAACGAAACATGGTTGAGTAAATAGATTATTATGAAAATAACATAAAACCCACTTTTTTGTTTGTTAATATTTTTCTGAGTCATGACTGTAACCACGTGCACAAAAATGATTTTCAATAAAATTGGTTGATTAATTACATTCCTACAAAATAAAATATGAAATTAAGTTGTTCTATCATATCTTATTTGTCTTGTTGTGTATGTAACGACTATGTTAAGTCGGCAATCTTACTGCCTATACTTCAAAAACTTGTACCACTGCATTTCTCACAACGTGAAGGAAGGATGCAAAAGACTGATTTGATGAAGATTTATTAACTCTCCAAAAATACATCCTTAAACGAGTCTCGAAATCGCGTCGTCAATAGGCCAAAGCACTACCAATCATAATCAAATTTTACATACAGCAATACTGCAGTCAACAGAACACCGATGGGGACAATCAAACTTGTTTAAGCACATAATTACGGAGCATGTCAATAAAATCTAAGAACCATATTATAAATGCTTAATTTGCAAAATGTCCATCAATTGTCTTAAAATGACTTAGAATTTATTGTTCTTGCATTTCATACAAATTGTATTATGTTCCCACTCTTTACTGTCCAAGCCTCTTGTCTCTCTGCTGCTAGACGTTCTTTTCCTGACTAATGTCATATACTACTTATATCGATATAAGTAGCACACACCACAATATCACAGCGGAAAATACATGGAATTGCTGTAAAAGCATACATGGAATATAGTTCATGTAAACTGATACAGGGAATATAATTGTCACAAAAACAAAGCTCACACCTATCACTGGCCAAGATTCTTAATGAATTGATACAAAAAAATATATTAGCTTAAATAATGTTACCATTTTATCCCGTCATATCAGAACTCATTAAAAAATTTAGATTATTGTATCAAAGTAAAATTAAATGACATTTTGATTATTTAATTCACGCTTCATTAAATTTATTGTAACTATAAAAATTTAATTTATACACACCAATAATTAGAAATATGAAATGCAAGCAAAACTTTTTCAAGCAACGTAAATGTACTAAAACTATATGTTAAAGTGAGGGTTCGAGTAAAACTTATTCTGCTAAATAGTCATCCCTGAGTGAACACTAGGATGCAGGTAAATCCAGCTGACGAGTCCAAACTAAAACGAAACGCGCATCCTGGATTCCATTGCTAGCCACTATCCATCTTTGCTTATAATGCTTGTGAATTAAGGCAATACGCATGGGATGCACATATGCCAATAACAGACTGATCAATTTCAGTCCTAAGCATCAATCGAAAGATTCGAATAAACAATATCAAGTGAACATGGACAAATATGTTTTAAATATTGCCATTGATGTTGAAAAATATAACTGATCCAATTGTTTTGAAAATACATTCGGGTGATTTAATAACATATAAATATATACGGATTAATTGACACCACATTCAAAATTAATTTAATTTATCCATCCAGATAGTGACAATTGATCCTTTCAAATAAGTTTCTTTGTGTAATGTCACCACTTTCGCATGTCAGTGATAAACTGTTCAGAAAAAGCACAAATTAAAAAATAAATAAAATATAATCAAAACAAAACCCAAGCTTTGATTATTCCCGCTTTAGCCATGCAGCTATATCACCCACAACTGAATCTTTCACTAGTAAGTAAAATGACTCATTCTCGATTTAAAACAAGGTTAACGCCCAAGGGCATATTCTAGTCTCAGTTACCTAGCAGAATACATAATGCGAAACCTAAAAGAAGCCTCTCTATTATTAAAATAAGAAGGTCCTGTTTATTTGTTTCAACAAATTTTTCTGAATGAATCAATAATCTACGCATTGAAGCTGGGCATCACATCTTTATTATAAAAACTAATTTTTTTTCTCTCTCACCCTCATGGAAAATAATTGGTATGGTTACAGTAACATTTTTGAGATTATTTACCGATTATTCACTTATGATTTCTACCGATAAATCAATTAAAATTGTGAAAAATTAAGTGTTATTCGTAACATCTACAGTTTATAACAAACCTTTGACAATCCACTATCCATGTGTATTTCCTGAAGATCGGATAAACACTACGAGTACAATAGGTTCTCAAGAAATATTCAAAGAATCCAATAAGATATGACTGGTCTATGAGATTGGATCATTGTCTACGTGGTTTTCGTCAAAGAATGGTCTAAATTTTTGAACTACTAGAAATCAAGATGTACTAAACAGATATTTTGTCCTTGTTTGAAGTTCAGCCATATGTATCCATGACTCAACTGGTGGTGGTCTAACATCAATCGATTAATGATCTCAATCAAAGACCTGCGGTTACGTTACATTTATACTACGGGGATAGGTTCCTATGATCAGAACTCCCAACTTTAATCAATTCATGGTATAGTGTGAATATCATTTATCAGTTAGTGATGGAACCAATTTCACATCAAACATGAATCAACGCCACCTATCAATAAAACTTTGTTCATTTCGAAAGTGAGTTTAAATTAAGGTTTCTTTTCATATCATAATGTTCGTCCACAAATAATCCTTAAAATAAATTTTCTATGTCGTATAAATTAGTCAATTATAGTTTCATTGTTTACAGAGAGGATTAGCCTTAGCTAGACAACCATTGAAAGTGAGGAAGCACTAGACAGATGTCTAACCTTATTATAGGACTCCTCAGATATACTCACTCAGAGCCTTCAAGTCTTGCAATAAGTCCTTAATTTTTATATTACTGAGTTGAGATCCAATGGTTGACATTTCGTTTAATTCACTTTGTGATATTCGACTCACATCAAACATGGTTGAACTATATTGATCATGTCTTTTCCCTGAAACTCAAGAGAACAATTCTTGAAATTAATACTTAAGTGATCTTCGGTTCGCTCTTTAGTGGGGTCGTAGTTGTGTACTACTGTGAGACGTCCAGGTTGCTGACTGGATATATGATGTAGATGGCCCGGCAGGTCGACATTGCTACAGAGGTCTCGATGGAAGGCGTGACACAAACTGAGAAAGCGTCACAGAGAGTGGAACAAACGCAAGAGTGACTTTTGTTTAAAAAGGTCATGAGTGTAGTGTATCCTTCTCAAGTTGACAAATATAAGTAGTGTGCAGCAGCAATTGTAAGTGGAATGTCTGCCAGAAGAAGACTGAGTTGGAGAGAACCGGAAGGGAAACAGAGAGCAGTTGTAATAACAATAGAATTGAAAGAATCATGAAGCACGTAAAGGATAACTGAAGGAACATGTGCAAATAATGTATTCAATGCAATGTTTTAATATTTTACCAAGGCATTTTGTAATCCATACCAAGCCTTAGTTCGCTATGCCATTAAGTGTTTTCATAAACGAATTATATGGCTGCTTAGTGTCTGGTTAGTAAGATCAATTATACTATCATGGTAAGCCTCCAACTGAAATCACGATTTTGTTTCAGACTTTCTGAATCTATTTCATTCTATAACTATCTGTTTTCTAAGACCACTTACTTCCTTATGTTTTTCATTGATACAAATCAATGATTTATAAAATATTTGTTGTTAAATTACTTGTATTAACATGTAATAGTACGTTGTGTTATGTTTTCTGGCTTCCTGAAGAATAAAGTTTACAGTGTAGGAGCTAATAATTTTAAATATTCAATGCATAGAAGTGAACCTGGAAATAGAATTATCCAGGCCACTTTGCTTTCGTGTAGAGGTATTCATTAATTCATAGAATGTAAAAACATTTCAGTTTATTGATTATTTTGTTTATCTCACTATTACACTGTATTATACGTAGACTAGTTACTAGCTTGATATTTGGTTGGGTTTATAACCACAGTAATTGATATGACATGCTGATAACGTAATGTAAAATGAATACACGATAATTTATAAATTGTTTATTCTTAACAGTATTACGAAGAAGTTGATTATTCTAAATCATCTGAGCTTAATGCGATTGTACGATTTGGTGAGTAAGATAATCAGTATAAACAGTTATTTAAAAATTTTTAATGTAAACAGTAAAAAAATGAAATCAGTTGTTCATTAATTGGTCACATCAAAAAATTAACCAGTCTCTACAATTAATAAATAAAGAACTGCTGCAAACATCAAATAATTGTCAGTGTAGCATAATTACGGTGTATGTTAACTTGAACGAAAGGTAAGATCCACTACTGGTTTGTTATAAGCTCTCTAATTAGGGGACAAATCACTTTGAAGTATATCTTGATCGAGATTAAAATGAGCAAAGTTTTACGGTGTTAGAATATTTATATATTATATCAAGTACAACTAGATTCACAGACTGGTCATTAACATCGTGTGGTAGAGCAATACAAACATTCCAAGGCTTCAATTTTATAAACCATACCGCAAATTAGTAAAAGATGGATAGTGGCTAGCAGTGGAATGCAGGACTCGCGTTTCGTCCTATTTTGGACTGGTTGACTGGATGTATCTACATCTTAGAGTTGATGTTCACTCTGGGACTCCAACCGAGTATCGTTCGTTTCAAGCGCCATCGAGTTATCCACTTAGCCACTGAGTTCTGATAGGCACTTGCTTGTGCAACGGGGTGAAATTTAAATGCATTTGGTATTGTTTGCTTGAATCTTCCCATTGCTGTTTAGGACTGCAATTGATCAGTCTGTTATTGGCATATGTGCTTCTTGTGCGGATTGCCTCCGATATGATTTTAAGTTACATGGATTGGTCGGTCCACCTCTGCCTATAATGCATGTAACTTAAAATAATATCGAGGCAATCCGCACAAGAAGCACATATGCCAATAACAGACTGATCAATTGCAGTCCTAAACAGCAATGGGAAGATTCAAGCAAACAATACCAAATGAATCATATTGCAAATGTTGAGAGAGTTTTGAATAGATAGAAGAATTTTTTACCACGATAAATAATGGCTTTAAAAGATTGATATCGTGGAGCCCTGTAACTATGTTCTCATTATCTGTTAAAAGTTAATGAATAATTCAAAAGCGATAGTCTTATATAATTACACCATTTTAGTCAGATATTAATAATTGATTAAAAACATCATGTAGAAGACTGTTTTGTGAAGTAATATTGAGAAACATAAAATCCATTGTTTTGGAATGCCATTCAAACAGTCACTGATTAATGAAACAGAAATAATTATTTAGTGTAGACTACATACACAAATTTTGATCCAAAATTGGGAATGTACCTGTAAGACCTATACACTTAGTGGCCACTTTAACTACTTAATGAGAGGACGGGTAAACATTATTGGACTGAGATCAGTAATACAGCCAACTTTTGTGATGCGTATATCACATGAGTGGCCTTTTCGTAATTGGTAATGAGGTACATAAAGCATGATGCTAGAGACCACCCCATATAACTGAATGGAATTACTATTTTTATTTAATGAGCTTTAAATATTCGGTTTGTTGTTAAGTAACTCAAGTCAAATTAGATTAGAATGCGATGTAAAGTGAGTGCTTTTCCGTCTGATAATGTCAACGTCTTAGATATATCATTGAAGTAAAAACAACTAATCTACTATAATGTATAGTAATAATTCGTAGAAATCTTAATTTGAATGAAATCAGCAAGTGAGACGATCTAGTTTTCATGTATAATACCAAATTATCGTTGAATCAATAAAAAAAATCATTCCTATTCTGAAGTTACTTGTAAAAACAATAATATATAGAAATCACTGAAAGAAACAAATCTGTAGGATTTTCCTCAATATCATCCTTTTCAACTAAGTGTGATCGTCAAGTTTACAAAGCAAAAGACTGACGTCAAATATTCACCTATCTGGTGCATAAATAAAATCTTATCTGCAGTCATATATTTGTTCCTGTATTAAGCTGTATCAGTCCTTATTCACTTATTGTGGTGCGAGCAACCAGTTGTGTCCATAAGATATAACAACTAGCTATACCAGTATTTTATCGAGACAAAAAAACTTGAATTTCTTTATGCTCACTAACAATGGTCATCCAGTTTAAACGATCATCATTAATTAGTTCACTTTGAGACAGTAAGACTAGTGACATCCATTTTAATCAATAACACAAATGAACACGAGCAACCACTTGATATCCTAACACTTAACAATCTACACACGATTCATCCCCAGGGGCCAATCAGAACACGAAGACAAGACGATTTAACTTCTATATGATGACTCAAAAACTGGCATGATTATGGGCATGAAAAACGTGACCACAAATAAAAATCGCAGCTTGTAAGTAACTGGGTCATATATATGTCAAGGTCGATACACTAAACAAAAGCTGATAATTCGGGAAACTTGAAAATAATAAATACATGAAAATAAATATAATAGTGCATTGTTGAATAGTTTTAAAAAATTCCAGCTTTTTCAATTATTTACCTGAGTCTAGAATTATTATTATTATTATGTAACATGATTATAGAATTCAGTCACTGCTTGTACAATTTATTACATATTATATTGATAGTGGGCCTTGTTTCAAAGTCGATTTTTTTTGAAGCAAATATCAGGTCCAATAACATCGTTGGCATTTTATTGCGATTGTGTTGCATAATATTTGATATTATCTATACGAGATTTATGAGCAACAATAACAACAACAAAAAAACAAATAAAAAATTAATATACATATACATACATTATTTGACATAATTTAAGTGATTTGTAAACAAAGGCTCATTGAATTCCATACTCATAAATGTATGAACTAAATCACTCTACAACAGTGAATATAGATTGTTATTATTTCAGTGTAATTATTACAATTGTTTCCTTGTTAAACACACACACACATATACAGACGTATCTATTCATGAACAAACTAGTTTAGATAATAAGCTAATAAAAACTTGTAACTTGATTTACACCTTGACAAATCTTGACAGAGATTTAAACCTAAAATTATGAAATATAAGATGAACAGTTTTTGTGTAAGAAAAAATTGAAAAAATAAGTGAGACTGAAACTCAAAACATTAAAACAAAATGTGTTTACTTGTTAGACCTAGTGAATTAGAAATTTAAATAGGACAGAAGTTCAGATTTTTTTTCAAATTTTTCGATGGTTTTTTAAACGATATCAGTGTTCTGTATTTTAAAACCATTTTCCCAACAAGTGTTGACTAATTGATTCGGCTAAATGATGAAATTGTAAATTTACGTGGAACAACTATCAATCATGATAACTCGATAATCAGTAATTATTCTTTATTGTGTGAATATTAGTGATTTATTTTATTTTAAATATAATGTAAGTAACTTGAATATCCCTATGACCATGTTTTATAGAGAGATCCACTCATGTTGATTGTGTATATATTACTATGTTACAATGGGTTCGATAAAAATATTACTTACTTACTTACTTACGCCTGTTACTCCCAATGGAGCATAGGCCGCCGGCCAGCATTCTCCAAACCACTCTGTCCTGGGTCTTCTTTTCTAGTTCCATCCAATTCTTGTTCATTTTTCTCATATCTATCTCCATTTCCCGGCGTAATGTATTCTTTGGTCTTCCTCTCCTCCTTCGACCTTGAGGATTCCATATGAGGGCTTGTCTTGTGACGCAGTTGGGTGTTTTCCTCAATGTGTGTCCTATCCACTTCCAGCGCTTCTTCCTGATTTCTTCCTCCACTGGGATCTGATTTGTTCTCTCCCATAGTAGGTTGTTGCTTATAGTGTCCGGCCAGCGGATCTGAAGTATTTTGCGTAGACAACTGTTAATAAACACCTGTATCTTTTGGACGATGGATTTCGTAGTTTTCCAGGTTTCCGCCCCAGATAAAAATATTGAATGACATATATAGCTTACTTGATAGTTCCATTAACGAACTGAAATATGACCTTCGAGTGAAGAGTTTTTAAAGGATAGATGAACTTATCAACTGACTTGATATGAAAAAGTAACTTGAAGACTCGAAGAGAGATAGATCATCAATTGATTGTTGAAATTATTGAGGACATTCTATTCAGCTGAATGATGGATTGTATCAACCAGTAGATACCTAATATAAGGATGTGTGGAAATAAATTGCAGTTTGGGTCACTTTAGTGTGTGTCTATCAGCTTATTTACTCTCGTGCATCATGTTATATTGGTCGCACATAATTTAATCTTAGCAAACATGTATACGAACAATACTGTGCATGATTATCAAAAATTGAACACAACTGATCAACAGCATTATTGTTAAATTCCTCGTTGGTTTTGAATATCTGCACTAGAATTGTCGTTTAAAATCATTTAGAAAATCAGAAGTACTGGTTCTAAGAAAGGCTGGATAATAAAATTCCTCATACCGATGGCACTACAAACCCGTCAATTTAAGTTTGTTGTATGCATTCAGAAGCATCTGTTCAACTAGCTGTTTACCATAGTCTTAACACTTCTCTTATTTCTTGAGTTGTTTTTTGACATATATTTACCTCTAGTCTTTCTTCTTTATATCTGTCGACTGAACAACCATCTTTCATATCTTTTTTCTATATATTATCTCTACTCTCAATATCCTCTGACTATTACGTAACTTTAAGACTTTTGACCAACGTTTAGTACTTTTTCCGCTCTATTATAAACTAATAATTGTAAAATAACTATAAATACAACTGTAAAGCTTAAGTAAATGATATCATAATAAGTCGATAAATAAAATATTGTCTCCGTCGATGCAGAATAGGTCCTGCTGTTATTGAATGAAATTAAATGTTATATTATGAACACTGTATGGCAATTCAGTTCAGACACTTCTTGTGTGAGACATGGAACTTATTTAAAATAGACACAAATTTAAAAGCAGAAATTATCAGATTACTCTTCAGTTTCAGTAAAGCAACCATCATTAGTATTTATTAATGACTATATCAGCAATAGGACCTAGGGTTTTCAAGCTTGACAGATATCGCGTTACCTATAGACTATCGAGCTGAAATCCTGTAACGAACATTCACAACTTTAATCAGTTAGTAAAGCATGACGATCGCACAGTATCATAAGTGACATACATAAGCTCTATCAATCGTGACGTCCTATTACAATATTTGGAATTTATTTAAAAGTTATTCACTACTCTGTTTCGTAATTTGTAGTTTCATTTCAGATATTTGTTTATTTTTCTAGTGTGAAATAATGATCTACAGTATTTCTACTTTCAGTTAACAACTAGGAAAGATATCTGGAGTATATGATTTTATATCTAAATAAACTTTAAAAAAACATTTGACCCTGAAAACAAAATTTTTCCCTTATAGCACTATCTTTTAATCATATGTTGGTGAAAAGACACCAGTTTATGTTTACTATTTAACTAAATTGTTTTTGCGTACTTGTACGTAAAATGATAAGAAAGACTTTTGGTCCAAGTATACACTATGAAATGTATCGTACTAGCTGAGCTAAGTGGTTTGATTGTGAAGTTTTCATCTTACTGCTGAAGAAATATTACCCGTTCGAATTTCATATAGAAGTAAGCTATTTAATTATTTTACATCTTTTTAATCGATTTCTTTTTTTCATTCTTCAGTACTATATTTTATCCGATAAGTCGAAGAAATAGGCTTCTCAGGAATAGACCCAAACTACAGCGTAAAAGCTATCAACTCTCAGTGAATTACTATTTAATATAAACTATTGACTACAAATCACTTTGGAGTTTCTGAAGCCTTCTTAATTCAACCAAACAGATACTATTTGAGGATTAAAAATTGATCTAATAGGTAAATTTTTGTTCTCCATTGGAAAAACAATGATAAAACTAACAATTCTAACAGGTTAAAAATTAAATGAGGGACCGCTTAGATACACCGATATATTGACAGTGTTTCGCTTTTTTTGAAGGAAAGTGAAACTGCTTAAAAAACTTAGTTTATCAAGATGAAAGATCATTTATATAGTTGAAGAGAAATAGGTCCACTTATTTTTTTCACTGAAATACCATTGTGTGTTGTAAACACATTTTTTTAATAAAAATAAACATTTAGCTGAAGGCTGTTGTTGGTTGTCACAGTAACGACATTAAACGGTGAATGACTTTAACACGTGGGTTTTACATACTTGTATCAGTCGTTATTCAAATAAATATTTTCATATATATATATATATATATATATATATATATATATATATATATATATATGACTGGCATATGAAATTCGTGTTATGTAGCAGCCATAGTAACAAGTAATAGGAAATATGGTTGAGTGAACCAAACAACAAATAGTATATTAGCACTTGTCGGAAAGTTGTGGGTTTATTTGCAATTTTATAATTTTTAATTATAAAAGCTTTACATTAATTAATATCTAGACATTTTAAATATAATAAGCATATTGTCAATGTGAATGTGTTTCAGTAAACATTGGACATGAATTTCTTTCTAGTTGGTATTCTTGTATTGACTGAACGAAAAAAAGTAGTCAGTGTCATATTTATCTAGTATCTGTCTAATATCAAAATCTGAATAGCTTATTGGTTAGGTCTCTCATAATTTTACTGGGTACTGTTTATTGGGATCCTACAGAAAGAACCAGGTTTCACCAATATCAGAAACACACCTTGGTGACAACTACTAATCAGCGTAAAACCTAGATCCAGAACTGCGTAAAGAATAACTTCAATGTCGTACCGTCATCACTTAATCCACTCAATTTTCAGTCAATTATAAGTTTAAATATATTGCGACTTGTTTAATAAAATTTGACTATCATTAAGGACTAGATAAACATGAAATTACCTATTACTCAATGATTAATCAGTGTAGATATTTATTATAGTTAAAAGTAAAATATCGATCTGCTGGCAAGTAGTTACCGACATGATATATAAGAAAGGTTTGTCAATTAAGTAGGTCTGGAGTTGCGGTGATCTGTAAAGCTGTGTAGCTATGTAGGCGGTAAATGAAATGAATTTGAATTGTGAAAGAGATATGGTTTAGTGATGAGAAGTAGTAAAAAAAATTCTTCACGGATTAAAATAAGTTGTTCAATAAGCAAAATTATAATTACAGTTTGCCATTCCACACCACCCCCGGCTGATTATGTTAACCTAACAATTAGTAAATGCTAATCCATCCATTTGATAATTTTTTTAAAATCATTGAACTATTTAAAAATATTTTATTATAAGTTGAACGCGGATTGATTTGTTAGAAACTAAAATGTTAATCCATATGCCGTACTGACAACCAGTTGAGTTGATTATTTAGATATTTGTTTAAAAATGACAGTTTATCACTTGTTTTAATATAATGAGACCCTTATTCAAATAATAAATAAAACTGATGCTTATCAGAATATTATTGTAGCCAATTTGGCGTATATTAAACTTATTGATAGATATTCAGAAAGCTAAGTGTAATTTAAGCAAAAAACAGAAAAGAGACTATTTTGTCACTCTTTTGTTTATCTCCATGTTAAATTCTTGAAAAAAATAAATAGCTATAACTTTTAATAATGGATTTTTTTGGGAATCAGTATCGATTATTTTAAACTGACGGTTTTTTGCACAACTTTCTCTATAATGTAACAATGATTTTCATTTCACTAACTGACATCCACTGTAGAAATATTGAAAAACAGAGAAGATAGTTTAGCAAGTGTTAAGGATGTCCAGTGATGTCCATCAAAACCAGACAATCCGTGCGCACACATGACTAGACGTTAAAAATTCAGGTATCATTCCTTGGATGATTCTAGTTAGAAAATATCTCCATAACTCAATCATAAATATTTTTTCCATATTCATTTATTTTATTGAATTACTATCTTATAGGCCTATGTTATAGGTAACGTCTACTTCACAAAAATGTTGGGAAATTTATCTAAGAAGTAATCAGTAATGAGTGTAGTATTATTATTAATATTACTGTTGT